GGGGGGGGGACTTTAAGCACCGGTCCATAGACGTTAATCATTCTCCTATGGATTTGTGCCAACCGCGTTGTGATCTCCGCGTGTCAAAAAGGTTGTTTCTCTTAACTCTTACAGGATTTTGGTTTTACATACACTGCTGGGTAGTCTTAAATACACATTTTCTGGATATCGCCGTCATCAATTCAAAATTCAATTAAAAGAAAAAGTGTTTGGCTTTGTTTTTTGTTTTTGTTTTTTTCAAGTGATCGTTCTGGATGGCGTGTACGATTGTTACCCAACTCGGTCGTGGTGCTCGGCCGCCCCTGCCATCCCCGCGCCGCGCTGGAAAAGGCATTCGCGGCGCTGTGTTTCATTTTCGGGGCGCCGCAACTGATTGTGGCTGGTGGCGGGCGGTCATCCGCGCCTTTGTTCGCGCCGAGCCAAGCCACCAGCCACAATTTACATATTTTTGAATGGTAATGCATTGATAGAGTGGCTTCTATCGGCGCCCGGGACACCCCCGCGCGCCTCCCCTCTCCACCCCACGCCACGCTCCGCCACGACGCGCCCTGCGTGGCTTTTCCCTCCGGACCGTCGAGTTCATCCCTCGACGAGTGGCGGTGCCTGCAGAGGATTTTAAACAGCCCTCCACAGTGTTACAAACATTTTTGGTAGAAGGGGGGGGAGGGTATGAAATATGCGGTTATGCACTTCAAATTAGAGATGAGCGAATAGGCCAGTTCGAGTTTGAGCGAACTCGAACAAATTTGGTCTAAAAATCTTCGAACGAACACGAACAGCGATATTTTTCTTCGAACGAACCGAACCTACCATGCAATGCAATGTGCAAATTCAGCGTGGGGGCTGTATTGTCTCCCTATCTTACATACAGAGGTTTCGTACATCAAATTTCCCATCCTCCTATATCAGGCCACTGAGTTGAGATATGACAGGGGGGGGGGGCAGTTTTGCCTGTTATGGTCTTTGCGTTACAGACAGAATCGCGGAGGCGGATAGCTGTCTCCGTAATGGAACACGCCGCTTTCATATTATGCACGACGTCTGACTCCGTTTCTCTTGTTTCTCTGCAGCGTGGTGGTGGCGACGCTCAGCCCGACGCCCTTGGCGTCCATGGCCGACCCCAACGGGAACAATGACTCGGGCTACGTGGCCTCGCACGTGGAGGAGACCACGATCGTGTCGGGATCCGCCCCCGGCAGCCCCAAGATGCTCAAGGCGCCGGCCCCACAGGTGAGTCCATGTCCATTCGCTCGCCTGATTCAACTGCGTTGCGGCGAAACGGGGCGGTCGATATGAAGCGAAGCGCAGAGCTCCGGCACTCACTGTGTGCGTGTTTTAGATTACACTGTACCATATGCAGGCGGAGCAGGTGGGTGGCCGACTTGCCTGACTCTCACCAAGGCGCCTTATGGCCCCGTGAGAGTGTGCAATCCGTTGACACCATCCGGCACAGTGTAACGAAGAAAAAGCACGGCTTCGCGAACACTAATCTTGTATTTAACCATGATTTGAGTGAGGGTATTTAGTTAGCAAATTTGTCATAAATACAATCTGAACACGATCCGAATTTTATGTTCACCTTTTAGGTACGCAGACAGAAATACGAAATCGATAAAATACATGGAAATACCCATCTGTTCGACTTGTCCAATTTATCTGTGTATTTACAAATAAATTCCATCATAATTTCCAAATTGGTAACTCACACTTTTTCTTGAACATGTGTTTTTTTATGTAAAGTAACTGAACGTTCGTTTGTGTTATGATAAGAAGTCATGGATCTCGGAGGAAGGTTTAACATTTAAAATTCAGCCACCTCTGTAAAAATATGTGCCGTGCAGAGGAGAGGTCTTATCAGCCAAGCTTTTGGGCCGTTCCGCATATCGCCGGACCTCAGTGTTTTTCTTTGCACGATGCGGAGCCGCGCGGGGAGCGGTGGATCTTGGGGGAGGGAACGGGAGGGGTGAGGGGAGGAAGTCTCTCAGCAGCGGGCAGGGCCGCCGGCGGGTACGGGGCGCGGGTACGGGGCGGGGCGGGGCCGCCGGCGGGGACGCGGGGACGTACTTTGCCGCAACAAGAACAACATAACTACAGAACAGTATGGGACCATTAATGATTTCGAGTTGGCTGTGTGTGTCTGATTCGCATCGTCACTGCGCGTGCGCGCGTGCGCGTCGTGCGTGCGGCTGGAGTTGGTGCGGCGCCCGCTGCCCCAGTTGTTCGGGCCGCGCGCTGCGGCGGGACTGGGGCGCACGGCAGGGCGCGGCACGGCAGGGTAGAGGGTAGAGTAGGTAGGTGGTCTGCCCCAGGGAAGCATGTGGAGCCGGTGGAGCCGAGGCGGAGCCCTGCAAACTAGCTTGAATTGCCATTAATTTCGTGTTACACGGGTGGCCACCCTCCTGCGGTGCGGCGGGGGAGCCGTGCTGCTCCGGGCCGTGCGCCTCTCTCGGAGACTGGCACGACTGCATGCCTGTTAGGACGCCCCGCTCCACGCCGCCCCACCTCGCCCTGCCACGCCCTGCCACGCCCTGCCACGCCCCGCGCCACGCCATGCCCAGTATCACCACGACATGCAGTGGCTTCAGTTCTGCCCAAGAATATGCGCTACAAAGGACACGGTGGTGGGCGCGGGGCGGCACCGCTCCTATGCCTCGCGTACGCCAACCCCACGCTCCGCCCTGGTGCCTCACCCCGCCTCGCCCCGCCTCGCCCCGCCTCGCCCCGCCTCGCCCCGCCTCACCCCGCCACGCCACGTGCCACCTTACCTCGGGGGGCAATACCTCGAGGAGTAATAGGGGTCGCGCTCTGCTGGATGAGAAATTTGTAAACGGAACAACGGGCGGCGTGGGTGGAGGAGAAGGGGAGCGGGGGTGGCGGGAGTTAGAGCTCGGGGAGTTGGAGTTAGCTGTCGTGCGGCGACTAATCACATTTAAAGGATTTGGAGATTGGTTTCTACGCTTTCGGGCAGCAGGCAAACAAGGGGAATTCGTAGGAAGGAGGGGAGGGGGTGGTTTTCGGGTGTGCTCTTTCCCGTTTGTGTGTCTTCACTGCTTCGCTCGGCCCGGCTGTGTTTGGCGTGATTGTAGTTCCAGCTCCACCCCGCCCACACTGCGTCCCGACCGTCCCGACCCCAGCGCCAGCGCGTTAGCCTCGCCACGCTGTGCGCTGCTGTGCGCTGCGGAAGTCGCGGGGAATGCCTGCCGTTTGCTGGAAAATACCGTGGGCAGTGCAAACATTTCTTTTGAAGCTGTCGAAAATATACTATCATTGCAAATTAAACTATAGTCGGTTCATGTTGAAGGTATTGACCATGGTCCAGTGTTTTGTTTATTTTCCACTATCTGTTGACGCAACTTCCTAATATCAACCATCTCCATCATCCCGCCATGCTAAAAATGTCGAATCGTAGATTATTGATCTTCAGCGAAATCCTCGTTAAAAGAAAGAGGGGGCGGTCGGCAAAACAACAACACAACCACATTTTGACAGTGACTTGGGCCAGCCCAGGAGTCGGACTGGGCCTGGGCGAGCAACAGGGTTATGGCTAATGGGCAGCCGGGGTGGAGCGCCGGACCTGAGCGTGAGTTGGGCTAAGTGCAACGGTCCGTGGCAGGCAGGGTGGGTGCGGTTGCAGTGGTGGCTGGTGGCAGCGGTAGCAGCGGTAGCAGTGGTTGCAGCGGTAGCAGGGCGCCCCGGCCCCCGGGATTGCGGTTGCGTTCGTTGGTTTAGTTCGGCCCATATCTACACGCATGCCCAAAACGATTCCCCCGAGGCTCACCGCTGACTCGACCTTGTTGCAGGGCAAGCGGAACGGCGCGGCGGCGCTCAAGCGGGTGCTCTCGGGCAGCCTGCGCAAAAGTCAGCCGGACCCGCCATCCACCAGCTCCACCAAGTTCAGCTCCAAGGAGACCAAGGAGTCGCGCTTCACCATCTACTCCAAGCACAAGGCGTCGCGCAAGAAGAGGGACAAGTCGGCGGCCAGGAAGGAGCGGAAGGCCACCAAGACGCTCGCCATCGTGCTGGGTAGGTTGCGGTGTTCAAACACGATAATCACTGGTAAAACAAAGATAGGGTGTCTGTCACGCGCTTCGCCTCGGAGCGCCTTCCAGATAGGCAACCCTCCTCCCTCCATGCTCCCCGGTGCGACTGGCGGCCTATCTGCCCCTGTCGACTCCCGGCTAGAAATCGGCCCGCCGCCACGGCGAGCCGAACCGCACCCGAACGGCGAGGGGACAGGAGGTTTTCGGGATCAGGTGTCAGACGGTTTTGAGATTTCGCCTTGGACAGTTGTCCGGAAGAGTTTCTGCTCGT